ATAGTCCTGGCCCCATCCCTGCATCACACGCAGGCCCCTCATCCGAGACCTCGCTCTCCGAGATCTCAGTCGTCTGCACCTGCTGCCAGCGAACCACAACAGGGGACAGTTGGACTTTTTGCATCATATCTACTTTCAAACAACGGTTCAGATATCTGCCTCATTTTGAAAAGACCATCTATTTTCTGATCAGAACTGGTCTGACATGTGGAGCAATTTAACAGCAGTCTATTGCTTGGCTAAAGTCCAGCTACAGGTAGTCCTCACCGAATGACAATTTGTTCAGTGATCGCTTGAAGTTACAATGGTGCTGAACAAGGAAACTTACAACCGGTTCTCGTAGTTGCACTCATTACAGTGTTCCCGTGGTTACGTGATTGCAATCCATGAGCTTGGCTCCTAGCTTGCAATTGTTATGAGCACAGGATCTCATCGCTACGTGGTTGCTACTTGTAACCTTCACTGCCAGTTTCCAACAACTGAAGTCAATGGGAAAGCTAGCAGGACGTTGCAAGTGGGATTGTGCTAAGCGGGATTTGCTCAATGATTGTGCTTAGCAGGATTTGCTCAATTAACTCTGCTGCAAAGAGTTAATTTCAAATCCACAGTCATAAATCTTATAACCATGTTGTTTGGAAGACAATTGCTGGTTGCAATTACAGTCAAGCGAGGACTACCTGTGTTTAGCTTCCTTCCCAAGAAATACCAATTAAACTGCTTATACCACCATCCCAGTAATATTAACGGCATTTGAAAAAAAAAAAAAAACCCACCTTCAACTGTTCTAATTATTATTTTCCAAGCATTAATTACCTTCTGTCACTTCCTTTTCTTCAACTACTACTTCTTTCTCTTCTGTTTCCTCTTCAACACTTATAACTGCAAGAAAGATCATGCCCTTTAAAAAAACAACACCCTAAGATTCCACATTTTATTATTGACGGTTTGCGAGACAATCCTAAGTGTCTCTGACCTGGCTTTTCCATGGTCTGTGGAATAATTCTATGCTTATCTTTGATTGGAAGCAGATGAATCAGTTCCTTTTCAGGTTCAGACTCCAGGCGTCTTGGCATCTTCTCATATTTGTCAATCACATTTTCATTCTTGCGTTTCTTGGCATGAACTGGTTCACTACGGAATGAAATTCGCATATGAGTCATTTCTATCTATTCAAACGACTTGGGTCATTAATCTCACTATGGAGGACCAGCTACATACCGCTACCATTAAAGATTAAAATGGCCAAGGGCCCCGTCGGTGATGGCTTTGCCAAATTGTGTGATTTATTCATGAGGACTATGCAGTTATTTTAATTAATGCTTCACTGAATTATTTTCTAATAATTTCCATTATTTCAGACGTTAACTGTACAAAAGCAAAATACAGTCAAGCTCTTAACCCTTGAGATCTAAATTTGAAAGATCAACACATAAAACATTAGTTATATTTTAGACCTGGGTAACGTCAGTGAATGTGGAATGAAAGCTTGATAAACAAGAAACTGTTGAAAGGTTTTCTATTAAGTTTTGGATTTGCCAGCACTCACTTGGAAGACAAGTCCCTCGTTATAAAAGATGCCTTTTGAGCCAACTCTTCCATTAATTTCAGATCATCTTCATCCATCATATCTAGAGGGAGTGCTTCTTCCTCTTCTTCTTCTTTTTCAATCCTCTCTGTTGAGACAAGTGAAAAAAAACCAGAGGCACAGAAATATACATACATAAGTCTGCTATAGATAAGTGGAAACGTATTGATTTTCCATTTGTATACCTGTCTGAGAACATGAACAAATAATTCAACAATAAGACTCCTGTTTGACAGGAAAATGAGAAATAAGTATCAATAATAGAATATCCTTTTTTATGTTGCATTTGGTCTCTGTTTGCATGTTGTTATATCTATAAAGCCAAAAGGACCCATGCAAAATTAAATTTGATTTATTTTACTGTGATTTAGATAATTTTTCTTCAAACTACTATCCTCTAGATTAGCTGGTCATTCTTTTTTATAATCTATACTAAGATCCTATTAAGATAGGAGTGGGCTAAATGTCTATGAAGATCCTCAATCATCCAGGTCATGGTAGTCCCAAAAATGCTTTTCCAAAAGGCAGCTGGACTTTCTTAAGTCTTTTTCCTTGAAAACATTTTGCTTCTCATTTAAGAAGCTTCTTCCGTTTGAACTGAACAACTCCGCTGGGACAGGGGTGGGATATTTGCTGGCTATTTGAACCCTAGAAGTTTTTATGTCACCTACAGGGACGTCCTTCAAGTTGTCTCTCTGTAGATCAGGGGTCTCTAACCTAGGCCACCTTAAGACTTGTGGGACTTCAACTTCCAAAATTCTTCAGCCAACTTTGCCAGCTGAGGAATTCTGGGAGTTGAAGTCCACAAGTCTTAAAGTTGCCAAGTTTGGGGGGCCCTGCCATAGAGAATAGGCTGTGGAAGGCTTGAATTGGTGCTTGAAGGCTTTGAGAAAGTGGTTGGTATCGAACCAGCTTAGGCTGAATCTGGAAAAACTGGAGGTGCTGTTTTGGCAGAAATCATCAGATTTTAGGATAGCACCATCTTTGCTACTGTTCGTTTTAGGGCATGCTAATTCAATAGGCACAGGCCAGACCAGGAGAACAATTACCCAATTAAAGCTGTGTCATCCAGTGAGATTCTCTTCCAGGATCAGGAGGCACTATCAGTAATAATTCAGATCATCTGTTGTCTGCTTAACTTGAAAGCTACCTGGAAGATACTTTGGAAGCTCAGTTGGTATAAAATGCTGCATGCTGACAGGTGAAAGCTGACTGGGACAAGAAAAAGCGGCCTTGCAGAAGCTGCATTGGTTGCCATTGGGCTTCTAGTGCTGGTGGTCACCTGTAAAGTCCTATATAATTTGAGCCCTCATTGCTTCAGGGCCCATATGTTCCTTGTAAAATATACCTGTCCAATATATGCTATAGATTCCTCCTTTCCAGATGTGAACTAGGTGGGATTCCAGAAGGAGATCTTTTTAATTGTACTTGCGTTGCTGTGGAACAGTTTACCCAGCACAACAGTTACTTATCTACAGGTAGTCCTTGCTTAATGACAATTCTGGGGATCAGAATTTCTGTCCCTAAGTGACACAGGCATAAAGTGCAATATCAGGTGATCACATCACTTAGCAGCAGCAATCCCAACAGTCTCAGTTGCTATGGTTAAGTGGAGATCATGGATTGTTAAGTGAGGACCACCCATGATCATGACTTGTGACTTACCACTGGCTTCCAAGCAAAGTCAACAGGAAAGCCAGCAGAAAGTTGCAAGCCCCAAGAAGCAGGCAGGCAAATGAGTGCTATGGGATAGAACTGGGTTGGGGTAGTGGGTGCTGCAGCACTACAAGACTGGGTAGTGGGGAAGGGACCAACACAGGGCAAGTGCAGGAAAGGTGCTGCATAAATGCAGTTCTGTACTTGCAGACTATGGAGTGTGGGCAGGGGGCTGCTGTGGGCATATCCATCTATAGAATACAAGGCCCTACGTAGTGGGTTGCTTGGAGAAAAATTGGCAGGAGTGACATGTGACCTTCTCTGCCAACTTGACGTAGCTTGTGGGAAAATTAGAAGGGAAGGTTGCCAAAGGGTAATCATAGAATGCTGCAATCACTGTAAGTACTAGACAGTTGCCAGGCACCCAGATCATGATCACTTGACAACAGGGATGCTAGGGCAGCCAGAGCTACACATGCTGGTTATAAGTGTGGAAAGGGAACTTCACGAAGACAGTAGTGTCACAAAAACAGGAAAAGCCCAA